TCTTCCTCCCACCACTCCTTTGCATTCCCTTTACAGATCCTGCTGCCTCTCATCAACCAGTACTTCACCAACCACTGCCTCTACTTCCTCTCCACCCCGGCCAAGGTCTTGGGCAGCGGAGGCCACGCCTCCAACAAGGAGAAAGAGATGATAACCAGGTGAGTGCCGGAGCGCCCCAGCAGCGGCTGGGTGTCGTGCGCGAGTGAGAGCCTGCGACCCTTGAAAAGAGCCGCGTCCTCTAACCCCCTTGTCCTCTCGTGTGTCCTCGGCTTGTCGGGACGAGGAATCTCTTTCATTCTCTGTTCTGCTTTTTCTTTTCCGCCTTTCAGCCTTTTCTGCAAATTGGCAGCCCTGGTCAGGCACCGGGTCTCTCTCTTTGGTAAGCCTCCTGCTCTGTGCTGTAACAAAAAGACATAAGAGCAGGGACAGGGGAGGCGGGCCCACATGCTCGTCGGAGCAAACCGGTTTGGAGCCAGCTGATCGTTGGAACAACCGGTTCTCCCAAACCGGTCTGAACCGGGAGAATCCCACCCTTAGAATCCATCCCCTTCTACCTGTCACGGGTTCAGGGAGGGGCTAAACCCCAACTACCCTGGTCTCCCTTCTGCCTCTTGACTTTCCTGACGCTACGTCAGCTCTGTTTCCAAGCCAGTTTCCCGCTGGCCCTGTTTCTCCTCCCCGACCTCCGCATCCTTTCCCCCCAGGTTTCTAAACCTACCTGTTGCATCCTCTTCCTCCAGGTACCGATGCTGCTGCTGTGGTTAATTGCCTCCACATCCTGGCTCGCTCCTTGGATGCCAGGTGAGCAGTCTTCCTCTGTCATTATATATAATATCCAGGTAGTCCTCGGCTTACCACAGTTTGTTTAGTGACCGTTTGAAGTTACCATGACACCGGAAAAACTGAGTTAATGACCGTTTTTCACACTTTTCACAGCATCCCAATGGTCACGTCATCAAAATTCAGAAGCTTTGGGGAAGCCAGATTCACTTAACAGCAGTGTTACAGCTGCGATGATTCACTTAACAACCGTGGCAAGAAAGGTTATAAAATTAGGCCAAAACTCACTTAATAAATGTCTCGCTTTATGACAGAAACCTTGGGCTCACTTGCGGTCATAATTCGAGGACTACCTGCAACCACGTTACAGCTTCAACTTTTTACTTTTGCACACTTAATCTGTCTTAGCCATTTCTATCACAACAAACTGAACAAGGTCATAAAATTGGGTTGTAACTCACTTTAACAACCTCCTTATTTAGCAGTGGAAATTCTCGCCCCAACTGTGGTCGTTAAGTCGAGGACTACTTGCACGTAATATTTCCATTAAATCCGGTTTTGTTTTGTTTAAATCGGGTATTAACCACATACAGCCTGATACGTGGGACACTTATTCTGCCTTAGAAATTTTCTTCCATTTGCAAATGTGAAGAACAAAACCGGGTTCGGTTTTACCATTCCGATAATCAGCACCTGGTTGCTTTATCTATGAGCATCTGGAAAAAAAATATATCTAGAGATATCTAGAGTGGTGCGGTGGCCTACAGGTGGAGATCTCGCCTCACAATCAGGAGGCTAGGTAGAGGCAGGTATTTCCCTCTCTGGGTACAATGCTGAGGTGGTCTTCAGCAGGTTCCGATCAATTCTAGAGAACCGGTAACGGAAATTTTGAGTAGTTCGGAGAACCGGCAAATGCTGCCTCTGACTGGAGATTTTACAGTATCTTTCCCTTGCCAGGACCACCAAGCCACCCCCACAGAACCGGTGGTAAAAAAAAATTTGAATACCACCACTGGTCCAATGAGCATATATCTGCCAGATATAACTCCGCATTGGCGACAGGAAAGGCATCCGGCCAGTAAACACTCTTATTAGCTCCATTCAATTGCCCAGACTCCACCCCGCAAGGGATTATGGGGGTCATTCACAGAAGATGTGCCTGTTGGGTTGAGGATTTCAAGGTCTTCCTTTCCCATCCTACAGGACAGTCATGAAGTCAGGCCCTGAAATCGTCAAGGCGGGGCTGCGGTCTTTCTTCGAAAGTGCCTCCGACGACATTGAGAAGATGGTGGAGAACCTCAAGCTCGGCAAAGTCTCCCAATCCCGCACTCAGGTCAAAGGCGTGGGGCAGAACATCACCTACACCACCGTGGCCCTCCTGCCCGTCCTCACCTCCCTCTTCGAACACATCGCCCAGCACCAGTTTGGGGACGATGTCATGTGTGAGTATGTCAGGAGACGGGAGGGTGGGCTAAGCAGGCCCTGGAGCAAAGAGAGTGTGAGAATGCCACCCATCTACTCCAGGGGGGGGTAGAAATGGCCTGGAGGAGGCCTGGTCTAAACTCCCAGAGACTGTCCTTTGGGAGGAGGATTTGGAGGAGCGAGAAACATGGGAGCATCTCCTGACATCAAAGAGTGGGAGGGAGAAGTTGCGTATCTGCCATTGTTCTCTCTCTCTCTCTCTCTCTCTCTTCTCTCTCTGTCACTGTCTCTCTTCTCTCATCTCTCTCTCTATCTCCTCTCTTCTCTTTTCTCTCTTCTGTCCCCCCCTCTTCTCTCTCTCCTGCTCTTTTCTCTTTTTCTCTTCTCTCTCTCTCTCTCTCTGTCTCCTCTTGCTCTTTTCTCTCTCTCTTCTCTCTCTTACTCCTCTCTATCATCTCCTCTCTTCTCTTTTCTCTCTCTCTTCTGTCCCTCTCTCTCCTCTTCTTTCTACTCCTCTTTTCTCTTTTTCTCTTCTGTCCCCCCCTCTCTTCTCTCTCTCCTGCTCTTTTCTCTTTTTCTCTTCTGTCTCTCTCTCTCTCTGTCTCCTCTCGCTCTTTTCTCTCTCTCTTCTCTCTCTGTCTCCTCTCTATCATCTCCTCTCTTCTCTTTTCTCTCTCTCTCTTCTGTTCCTCTCTCTCTTCTCTTCTCTTTCTCCTCCTCTTTTCTCTTTTTCTCTCTCTGTCTCTTCTCTTTTCTCTCTCTGTTTTCTCTCTCTTTCTCTCCTCTCACTCTCTCTCGTGTCTCTCATCTCTCTCTGTCACTGTCTCTCTTCTTTCATCTCTCTCTCTCTATCTCCTCCTCTCTTCTCTTTTCTCTCTTCTGTCCCCCCCACTCTCTCTTCTCTCTCTCCTGCTCTTTTCTCTTTTTCTCTTCTGTCTGTCTGTCTCTCTCTGTCTGTCTCCTCTCGCTCTTTTCTCTCTCTCTTCTCTCTCTCACACATCTCTCTCTCATCTCTCTGTCTCCTCTCTGTCATCTCCTCTCTTCTCTTTTCTCTCTCTCTTCTGTTCCTCTCTCTCTCTTCTCTTCTCTTTCTCCTCCTCTTTTCTCTTTTTCTCTCTCTGTCTCTCTCTCTCTGTCTCCTCTCGCTCTTTTCTCTCTCTCTTCTCTCTCTGTCTCCTCTCTATCATCTCCTCTCTTCTCTTTTCTCTCTCTCTCTTCTGTTCCTCTCTCTCTTCTCTTCTCTTTCTCCTCCTCTTTTCTCTTTTTCTCT